CAAAGTATTTGCATATCTATTAGTATCATTAACTCAGGACAGCACTTTCTGTCTCTGATGACATGGACAGTGTCCAGGAAAACTTAGACCATAATATATTTGTTAGTCTTTAAGGTGCCACAAAACCCTTTGTTGATTTTGCTGCAGCAGAAGAAGCCCTGAGGTACATTTCATTTGATTGTGTTCCCGTTTGATTTTATCAGTATCCTGCTGGGATCACGCTTGGAAAGATTTAATTCATGTGTGACTTTGACCCCTTCTCTGGAGGCCATATTGCTGTGAAACTTGCTCTGCTGATGCTTGCATTCCTTGGGGCAGCCTTCCCCAATCCAGTGCCTTCCCACCACTCCTGACCAGCAGCCATCTTGGCTGGGAGTTGAAGCCCACGACCTCAGGAAGGCACCAGGTTTAGGGAACACTGCCTTAAGGCAACCAAGATCCAAGGAGAATGGGCTATTGCATCTTTCTTGTTGTTGTTGTTAGTTGCGAAGTCATGTCCGACCCATCGCGACCCCATGGACAACATTCCTGCAGGCCTTCCTGTCCTCTGCCATCCTCCGGAGTCCACTTAAGCTCACATTGACTGCCTCAGTGACTCCATCTAGCCACCTCAACCTCTGCCGTCCCCTTCTCCTTTTGCCGTCAATTGTTCCCAGCATTAGGTGCATCTTTCATAGTGGTGTTGAAAAAAAGAATGTGGCAGGTACAACTTGGCAGGAAAGGTTGAGGCAAGGTACTTTCGCCGCAGTCATCTTCTTTTCAAGGTACAAGATCCCCCATTCTCTTTTAAGCCTAGTCTTGCTGATGGTCTTTCAGAGGCAACCTGTTGCTCAAACAAGGGTAACCATGACCATGTTCAGTGCATCTTCTCCTTTCAATGTTCCAACGCTGATTTAGAAAGTCTTGTCCTGATCATGGGATTCAGATTGGCTTCACCTTAAAAAACATACACACCCTAACAAGATTAATAAGTTTAATCAAGATACACACTCTCAAGCCTTGAAAATATAATCAGGAAGTTTCAATAGTAAACTGAACTTGCTGCCACTTGCTCCTCCTGCACAAACAGGGAGCAGTTACTTGCATTGTAGAGCACAAGGGACCAAACCGCAGACAGGTTCATTGACTATATGGGCTTTTAGATGAGATTTGAAAGTTTAAGGAGGAAGTGAAAGGCAGAGAGAGACCAGAAGACCTGTGCCCTTCCAGATGTTTTTGGACAACTGTTCCCATAATTTCTGAGCTTTGGCTATGCTGGCTTCAGTTGATGGCAGCTGGAGTCTAGCAACAACTGAAAGGACAACAGTTTCCCTTCACTGCAATAGTTCTGGATAAGAGTTTGTGGAACAGGGGAAAACTACAGAGAATGCCAGATTTATAAACATATATATACAGCCAAACAACAATAAATTTCAGTTTCTTTTATACAAAATATTCCACCAATATTTAAAAGCAAGCAATGCATTACTTTTGCCATTAGTGACCACAACTTGACAGTCTAAACAAAAAAGGCTTTCCCTTGCCTGTTACGTAAAAGCTGGGGAGGGTGGTTCTTTACAGATGGATGCAGATAATGCAGTTAACTTTGCACAGAAACCTGAAACTACATTGGTAAGGAGTTCACCTGCAGGGCAGGAGAGTCATCTGCATATTCATAGAGTAGTTAGTAGACTTTGTGATGCCTTAATGCCATAGCATAAGGAAGAATTGTGGCTGGGTTTGCCATGCAGAAATGGAGCAAGCAGATGCATAATGTTACACCAGGAAAAGCTGATTTTTTGTGCCTTCAGCTGTGTGATTTCTGCATGCCAGGCTACTGTTAAAGGCATGAAGAAAGACCAGTTAAAAGAAGGCAAAAGCAGACAGAACTTGCAAGTAGTGTGCCTCCATCTGCTGCAGTAGAACAAAAGGTTTGTCCCTTGCAAATTGGCTTTTGCCAAAGTTCCCCTGAGTTATGTACCATTAAGAATCATATCCTGTTCAATTCTGACTTATAAATGCCAGTTATAGGATCAGGCCATGTTTATTAAACAAAAGCTAGCTTAAGTAGCATGCCATTGTATAATAAATTATGTAATGTCAGATTTTACAAGGGATTCTCTTATCAGAACTGTTTGGAATGTCTGCTCATGAGCACAAATAGATTGCTTTGTCTCATAGAACACTTTATTATCAGGTTGAGATTCTGGTAGAGACCTGCTCATATTTTAGTTTTGTATGAATGTGTTTTGCAGGAACTTCCCTGCCCAATGACAACTTTGTCAAGGTTCAAAAATCATGGTGACAGTGTTTTGTTTTGTTTTGTTTTGTTTTGTTCTGCAGCGGCTGCAGAGTGAACTACCCCTTACTACTGAGCAGCTGGAAGCCGTCTTTGACAGCCTAGAACAAGACAACAATGGCTATCTCACCCCCGTTGAATTCAGCATGGGGCTTGGTAAGAAAGCCGGAGGGGCCCTTTTCATTGGTGGCTACCTAACTGTGAAATGTCCTTCCCAGAAAGGCTCACCTCTCTGGGCTTTTACTTTGATTTTCGTCTGCTTTAAATTTTAAAAGTCTCATATTATGTCTTATTATGTATATGGTTTTTCTACTTCTGAACTACCCAGAGTGCTTTGGCTATTGGGCCGTATAGACGTGTAATAAATAAGTGAACAGAATATAGAATAAAGAAGTTTGTCTAGAGATCAGTGAATATTTATGACAAATGATGACTATAGCTTAACATATATGGAGACAAACATAAATATTCCTGTCTTCAGACTAGTTGCCATCTGCCTTAGAAAGTGAAATGTGGAAAATTCAGAAATGCACCAATCTCTGTGGCAACGAGATAAGAGTCCCGGAAGCAGATTGCAACCAGTAACATACTCATCCATGGCAAACACTTGAGGCATTTCCTTGCCGTGCACTTTCTGTGATGTCTTTGCCCCAAGTGTCCGTGGAGTTACCGCCGCAAGCACAGTCTCTGAGTGGAGAGTTCCTGCACGCCACACCAAATTCTCCACTCTCAGAGCCTGGCTGTCGCACACACATGCCTTGTCTCAGAGGGCTGTCGCTCTGCTGAGAAGCTTCTCCCAGAGCCTCGGGTGGCGTGCTGAAGCACTCAGCTGCACAGCTCCCATGCAGACACTGCAGAGCCAGCCACCGCCCAGAGATCCACCTGTAGCGAACGCCAGGCCCTTGCCAAGTGTGTGCCGTGTTGAGGGAGGAGCAGGGCCTCCGCTGGCATTTCTGTGGCCTCGTGCTGATTAGAGGAAGCCAAGTTCTTTCCTTAAGAAAACAGCCTAAGTCAACACTTCCGCGAATCTGACGTGAGGAGTGTTGATCAAAGCTATCAGAAGTGGAGATCTGGGCAAGGAGATAATGGGAGGCTCTTATTTCAATAGGAACATAGTGGCAATATGTTTTGTACAAACTGTGGATGTCTTTGTGTTCAAAGGCTAGGCAGACAATCCAGGGATCTGACCCAGGCCAGTGCAACCGGGAGCTAGGAATGATGATCTATAGCTCTGCTTGTAACTTGCCTAACCCTGAGCTGTTAACTCTTAAGATGACACTTCCACAAGGGATTGAACTGACGATGTGATTTTTAGAAACTGGAAAAATAAAGTATTTCTTCCATTTATCCTTCAGATCATAAGTGAGGAAGCTGGCTAGGCAAGTTACCCTGACTAAGATATTGGGGAACAGTTCTTTGTTTCGTCCTCTGACTCAAAGAAGACATGCGCTCAGACTCTCCCTAGCATATCTCATAGACTTCAAGGCTAAGTGACTTGTCTAAGAACCTGGACTCTGTCCTAGATCCAGTTCTAAATGTCATAGCTTAGTCCTGGAGCATTTGACATCATAAAAGTGTCGGGATAGTGGAGAATGCCTTTGAGGCTGTGGAAAACACTCTTCTTTCACTCTGGAATAGCCACAACTTGGTGCTTGAATGGCAAGGGGTCTGATCCTTTTACTTTTTAGGCTATTGTTTTTAGAAGACAGTGGAGGCATGATTTGGCTAAAATTAAGAGGAGATGAGATGTTGAGTTTTTTAGGCACAGATAATTTCACTAAGAGCCTGCTATCTATCTGCCCCTCCCCACACACAAACAAAGCCTACCTGTTTTGCTTCCGTGTTAGTAGGCACATCTGGCTGCCCAGCAAACTTGAGCTTTAGTGACTTTCTTTTTAAAAAAAGGGCCAAAGTCACAGAATATCTCTGAAGCACAGTGAGACATTTCCGTCCTTTCGACCTCTTTCCCTGTAAAATAAGCTGATCCCACATTTTTTCCTGCAGGAAAGTTCATAGGAATTGAGCAGTACCAGAACTCTGGAAGTACTGGTCATGAGGAAACATTTGAGTCTGGCTGGTCAGATGACCTGGACCAGGCAGATGAGGAAGAGAAGCGGTTTTCATTAATGCTGGAGCAGCTTGAAGCATCACAGGTGTTTGAAGAGTAAGTTGGCCCTCTCCAACCTGTGGTTCTTTATTCCTAGGATATGACTGATCACTGCTACTGTCTTTAGGGACCTTTTTTCAAATGCATTGCTCTGACCTTCTCTTTGCAACCTCTTTGTTCAAATTTGTGAGCTTTATTTTCTGGATCAGTCTTGTTAGCTGGACAGTTGTTGGGTGCTCTTTGTACCCTGCTTCAGCTGCCTCAACCTGATATCCCCAGATGTATAGGCCAGGGGATGCTAGGAGTTGTAATACAACACATCTGGAGGGCCCCGGGTTGGGGAAGGCTAAAAAGATTAGTCACAACCTTCTCCATTACCAAACTGATTCTTGGTTTAGGTTGGCCAACAGGCACTAAGACAATGACTTAGGAAAGGGGTTGCGTAGTAACCCCAAAAGGCTGAAAATGCCTGGGTGGGGGAGGCCTGTGCAGAAGAATCCCACGTTTTAGGATGTAAACTGCCTGCTCTGGCCCCTGGGACTAGCCAGTCTTGCTGCCTGGGTATCCCCATCAACCTATCACCCCGCCTCATTCATGGATCTTTACAGAGGATCCCAGTTCCATCAGAGCCTCCTGTGATTTCCTCCATTTCTTTCACCTTTTTGCCCACCGTGGAAAATCCATAAAGGAAGCAAACCAACAAATAGCTGCACAGTGCCTTCCGATGGCTGATGCTAGGACCCCCTCCTCCTTTAAACACTCTCTGGGAATTTTTACAAATTAACTGTTATAAAGCACCTTCCAATATAAAGCAGCCTTCACCCAACCTGTGAAGCCCTCCAGGTCTGTTGCCCCCCTTCAGCTCTCCTCAGCCCCAGGCTCCAGGGCCACTGGTCAGGATTTCTGGGCATTGTCATTCAGCACAGCTAGAGGGCAGCATCTGGGGAATGCCTGCTTTGGAACCTGGTCAGCAGGAACACAGAAGTATACTGCTTATCATTATTCCAGGCAAAGGGAGGTTCAGGAGCTCTGGGCTGGACTCCGGAAAGAACGTCCAGAACTCCTGGCCAGTTTTGAAGAGTTCCTCTTCCGCATTTCCTCCTACATCAGAGATGTGCACCATGAGAAAGAATCCATGCAGATGGCATTAAAACGGTAAGCTATTATCAGACGCTGTGGGATTCAGCCCACTGCATTGACTCAAGCAGTTTTATTTATTGCTATTGATTTAAAATGTTTCTTGGCCAGCTTTTGCGGCTTTCCCAAGGCAGCATACAGCAACAAAACGCTGAAAACTGATGCAATATGAAGAACAATAGAAATGGTAAGAACACAGTTGTTGTTGTTAGTCGCGAAGTCGTGTCCGACCCATCGCGACCCCATGGACAACATTCCTCCAGGCTCTCCTGTCCTCCACCATCTCCCGGAGTCCACTTAAGCTCACACCAAATGCTTCAGTGACTCCATCTAGCCACCTCATTCTCTGCCATCCCCTTCTTCTTTTGCCATCTATTGTTCCCAGCATTAAGCTCTTCTCCAGGGAGTCCTTCCTTCTCATTAGGTGGCCAAAGTATTTGAGTTTCATCTTCAGGATCTGGCCTTCTAAAGAGCAGTCAGGGTTGATCTCCTCTAGGAGTGACCGGTTTGATCGCCTTGCGGTCCAAGGGACTCGCAGGAGTCTCCTCCAGCACCACAATTCAAAGGCCTTAGTCCTTTTGTGCTCAGCCTTCCTTATGATCCAGCTTTCACAGCCATACATTGCAGCTGGGAAAACCATAGCCTTGACTATACGCACTTTTGTTGGCAGGGTGATGTCTCTGCTTTTTAGTATGCTGTCTAGATTTGCCATAGCTTTCCTCCCCAGGAGCAAGCATCTTTTAATTTCTTGGCTGCAGTCCCCGTCTGCGGTGATCTTGAAGCCCAGGAAAATAAAATCTGTCACTACCTCCATTTCGTCCCCATCTATTTGCCAGGAAGTGAGAGGACCGGATGCCATTATCTTAGTTTTCTTAATGTTGAGTTTCAAGCCGATTTTTGCGCTCTCCTCCTTCACCCGCATCAAGAGGCTCTTTAGTTCCTCTTCACTCTCTGCCATGAGAGTGGTATCATCTGCATATCTGAGGTTGTTGATATTTCTCCCAGCAAACTTAATTCCAACTGGTGATTCATCTAGCCCCGCCTTTCTCAAGATGTGCTCTGCATATAAGTTAAATAGGCAGGGTGACAGTATACAGCCTTGCCAAACTCCTTTCTCAATTTTGAACCAATCAGTGGTTCCATGTCCAGTTCTCACTGTTGCTTCTTGACCATCATACAGGTTTCTCAAGAGACAAATAGGATGGTCTGGTACTCCCATCTCTTTAAGAACTTGTCACAGTTTGTTGTGATCCACACAATCAAAGGCTTTAGCTTAGTTAATGAAGCAGAAGTAGATGTTTTTCTGGAACTCCCTAGCTTTCTCCATGATCCAGCATATGTTGGCAATTTGATCTCTAGTTCCTCTCCCTCTTCGAAATCCTGCCTGTACTTCTGGTAGTTCTCAATCTACATATTGCTGGAGCCTAGCTTGTAGGATTTTGAGCATAACTTTGCTAGCATGTGAAATGAGTGCAATGGTGCGGTAGTCTGAACATTCTTTGGCATTGCCCTTCTTTGGGATCGGAATGTAAACTGACCTTTTTCAATCCTGTGGCCGCTGTTGAGTTTTCCAAATTTGCTAGCATATTGAATGTAGCACTTTTACTGCATCGACTTTTAGGGGTTTGAATAGCTCAGCTGGAATACTGTTGCCTCCACTAGCTTTGTTGTTGCTCAGACTTCCTAAGGCCCATTTGACTTCACATTCCAGGATGTCTGGCTCGAGGTCAGTGACCACCCCATTGTGGTTATCAGGGACGTTAAGCTCTTTCTTGTATAGTTCTTCTGTGTAATCTTGCCACCTCTTCTTAATCTCTTCTGCCTCTGTTAGGTTCCTGCCATTTTGGTCCTTTATCATGCCCATCTTTGCATGAAATGTTCCTTTCATATCTCCAATTTTCTTGAAGAGATCTCTGGTCCTCCCTATTCTATTGTTTTCTTCTATTTCTTTGCACTGTTCATTTAAGAAGGCATTCTTATCTCTTCTAGCTGTTCTCTGGAATTCTGCGTTCAATTGTTTGTATCTTTTTCTTTCTCCCTTGCCTTTCGCTTCCCTTCTTTCCTCAGCTATTTGTAAAGCTTCCTCAGCCATTTTGCTTTCTTGCATTTCTTTTTCTTTGGGATGGTTTTAGTTGCTGCCTCTTGTACAATGTTGCGAACCTCCGTCCATAGTTCTTCAGGCACTCTGTCTATCAGATCTAATTCCTTAAGTCTATTTCTCACCTCTACTGTATATTCATCAGGGATATGATTTAGGTCATACCTGAGTGGCCTAGTGCTTTTCCCTACTTTATTCAACTTAAGCCTAAATTTTGTAACAAGAAGCTCATGATCTGAGCCACAGTCAGCTCTTGATCTAGTTTTTACTGACTGTATAGAGCTTCTCCATCTTTGGCTGCAGAGCACATAGTCAATCTGATTTCTGTGTTGACTGTCTGGTGATGTCCATGTGTAGAGTCGTCTCTTGGGTTGTTGGAAAAGAGTGTTTGCTATGACCGTTGTATTCTCTTGACAAAATTCTACCAGCCTGTGCCCTGCTTCATTTTGTACTCCAAGGCCAAACTTGCCTGTTATTCCAGTTATCTTTTGGCTTCCTACTTTAGCATTCCAATCCCCCATGATGTTAAGGACATCATTTTTTGGAGTTAATTCTAGAAGGTGTTGTAGGCCTTCATAGAACTGGTCAGCTTCAGCGTCTTCAGCACCAGTGGTTGGGGCATAGACTTGGACTATTGTGATGATGAATGGTTTGCCTTGGATTCAAACTGAGATCATTCTGTCATTTTGGAGATTGTATCCCAGTGCTGCTTTTCCTACTCTTTTATTGACTATAAAGGCTACTCCATTTCTTCTGAGGGATTCTTGCCCGCAGTAATATACCTGATGGTCATCTGAATTAAATTCACCCATTCCTGTCCATTTTAGTTGACTGATTCCTAAGATGTCGATGCTCAGTCTTGTCATCTCTTGTTTGACCACATTCAGCTTGCCTTGATTCATGGATCTTACATTCCAGGTTCCTATGGAGTATAGATCTTTGCAGCATCAGACTCTCCTTTTACCATCAGATACATCAGCAACTGAGTGTCCTTTCGGCTTTGACCCAGTCGCTTCATTCTTTCTGGTGCTACTAGTACTAGCCCTCCGCTCTTCCCCAGTAGCATATTGGACACCTTCCGACCTGAGGGGCTCATCTTCCGGCATCATATCTTTTTGCCTTTTGGTACTGTCCATGGGGTTTTCATGGCAAGGATACTGGAGTGGGTTGCCATTTCTTTCTCCAGTGGATGACGTTTTGTCAGAGCTCTCTGCTATGACCTGTCTGTCTTGGGTGACCCTGCACAGCATCGCTCATAGCTTCACTGAGCTACGCAAGCCCCTTCGCCACGACAAGGCAGTGATCCATGAAGGAGAAGAACACAGTAAAAGCAGCGATAAAAGCCAGCAGCCAAACCAGCAATGCAAACAGCAGCAGCGATCATACTAGAACGTTCAAGGCCTTTATTAAAAGCCTGGAGTGACGGAACATGGCAGACTCTTGACAGCAACTCACTCCAGAGGGACGGGGGCCCAGCAGGGAAAGCCCTCCCAAGTGTGGCTACCCTGCTCTCTGCTGGGAAATGTGGAGAGCTTCTCTTCCTGTCCTTAATAAGTGGGCCAGCTAACACTGGTCCCCAACTTTATTTATTTGATTTTTATCCTGCCTCTTTCCTTTTTAAAGAACTCAAAGTGGCTTGCATCATTCTCCTCCTCCTGCTCCAAGTCTTATCCCCACAGCAACCCAGAGGTAGTTTGGGCTGAGAGTTGGTGACTGGCCCAAAGTCACCCAGTTGGCTGAGCAGGGACTAGAACCCAGATTGCCCAAGTCCCAGTCCCACACTCTTAACTGTCACACCCACTGGCTCTCATTTAAAGAGGTCAAACCAGCAGCTTAAAATGGGCTCAGAAGCACACCCATAAGCCCGAGCTGGCACCATATAAGCATAATGGGGTGTTGATACGGTGTTGGCAGCTCCTGGGTGCCCATAGGAATGAATGGAACTTGGGATCAAGGAGGAAGGCGCTCCTCTTGGCATTCCCAAGAGGGCGGGTGGATTCAACAGACGTTTTGCTGTCTGATGCATGCTTTCCCAAACTGGTTCTCCTTCTCCATCCTTCCCATTATTCCAGATGTGCTGAACCACAACTCCCATCATGCCCAGCCAGCAGTTGGTCCTGCTGGCTGGGAATGGGAGGAGTTGCAGTCCAACACATGGGGAGGGTTCCGGGATGGTCCACTGCTTTCGGCAGATGGCATGTTTTATGCTACGCACTGGTAATAACAGAAGATTGTCACAGCAGGGAAATGGGTGGATGAAATTGAGAGGCCTTAGTGCTGAAACGAAAACTTCATTTTTCATACAAGTAAAATGAGAAGGACAAAACGAATTGATTTGGGAAATGGCCTTCCTTTTATTCATTTTTGGAATAAAGACCTTAAAACCAAGCCAAAGGGGAATCGCCTCAGTTTCTAATACGATATAGTACACGGAACTCATTTGTTTCTAGAGATTCTGTGTATTACTCTGTGTTTCTTTTTCTCTTGAAAACAGTGAGGATTCTCCTACACACGTGTGTTATGCTTTTCTTCCTGCAGTCCATAGGCACATTTGTAGCAATATTCCCCTAAGGTACCGAAGAAGGATGTGACTCAGCCTGATGCCTTCCGGAGATCTTGTACTATAACTTCCAATGTGTTCCTGACCATTTGCCACGATGACTGGGATGATGGAAGCTGAGGTCCAAACATCCAGAGGACACCGTTAGGGAATGCTGGTGCAGGCTGTAAACTGTGCTGGTTTCAAAATTTCCCTTTTCATTTTAAAGAATGTTTGCTTTCCCTAGCAACACTTCAAGCATCCCTGGCACCCCCTGGTGTCAGAGAATGTCCATATCCTCTAGCATATCTCATGCTAGTAGCTAGAAGGTATTAATTTTTGTTCATGGAACAATTTTTTTCTCCTTTCCCTTTATTCTGTGCTTTTAGGAGGGAGACAGACCATGACAGAGAAATCAGGTGCCTTTATGAAGAAATGGAGCAACAAATTAAAGCAGAAAGGGAACGGCTTCTTTGCCAGGTAAACTCCTCCTCCATCCTCTAGATCCCTCCTGGGCTGGACATACAGTTCACTTGCTAAATCCATGAGCCACAACTTTGATGAAGCTCGCAATCTTGTTTGCAAAGTGCCAGGGACGTATTCTTATGCGGCGTACTGGAGCGGGGGAAAGCAAAGCCCACTCTTCTGCCTTTTGCAGGAGTCCATGAAGCAAGACAAGAGCAACCTGCTTCAGAAAGAGCTGCAAAGCAAAGAGCAAGAATTTGAGGCACTGCTGTATCGCCAGAGAAAGGTAATACGACAGCTGATCCTCTAGGCACTGTGAGGCCCCTGCTAATAGAAAAGTCCCTCTTCCCCACCCAGGGGAAGGACAGCTTGTCCTTGCCAAAGGTCTGAGCTGATCTCTTTCAGAGCACTTTGGGAATCAGGCAGAGGACTGCTTGCAGCTCTAGGGCCACAAGGGGCCCACTCTCTGTTACAGAAACATTGCCCTGCAATATAGTATAGGAGCTCATTCTTTTCTGGAAAGTTGCCTTTCTCTCGGCACAAAGCTGTCCTTTCTTTGCACAACTTCATTTTTGGCTTGCCTGGGTCTCTCTCCTGAGTCTCATCCATACAGCTTTGATGCAACCTTCTGCTTGAAAGGTTTCCATTGTAGGTCTCAGTGACACTGTGCCAAGTTTCTTCCAGGATTTAACCTTTACCTGTGAGACCCAGGAGAGCTCTTTTTGAGTCGATCCTGCTGTGCCGCATGGAAACTGCCTGGTTTCCTTCCTCTAATCGCCAGGCCTGCAAACTTGGTATGAATCCAGCATCATTCCTGTTTTATCTCCAGCCAGGTGGACCCCTTTCCATCGACGCAAGGAAGAACCATCTGCTCTGTTTACACATGTAATTTTTGTACGATGACATCCTCTTACAGGAATGCAGGCAAGAGATAAAGCCTTGCAGTGTGTGTAATCTGTGCTGTTTGGATTGTTTTCGTCTCAGCATTTGCTCTGGGTTGTTTTAAAAACTAAAGGGCAGTTAAGCCAGAGGACAGAAAGAAGCACAGAGAAGCAAGGACAGCTTCTATCCTTCCTCCTGGTCTGTTGGGTGTCTGCCAATGGAACAGGATTTTCCGAGAACTCTCTCATCCTGCATAGATTTGTGCTGCTTGTGCCACATGAAGAGATAAGGCTTCAGTCCACAGAACACGACTTGAGATGATAACTATAAGTGCAGTTAGAGAGGTGGGAGTGTTGTTTTGCTTCTGCTATTTAATCTTCCAAATTGCTTTTCTTTCATTGGCATGATTTCTCCATCTTGGAACAATCCCCTAAGCTAGTTGACTAGAGGTCTGAGGGAGAGAGGGTTGTCCAGGACTCTATTATGGACCTGTTCGCATGTAACAGCAGCTATTTGCAGGTTCATTAACTCAGGATTTGCTGCAGTGCGTACTGGGCACGTCCCATGGCGAGTCTGCAAATTCATTTTCTGACTGACTGCTAAGAGGTTGCCACACAACAGCCAAGCCCATATATTATAGGTTATACAACCCACAGTTACCCTACAATTAATAGGTAATTGTGCATTGATTGAGGATAAGATGTAATGCAGCAACCTCCAATCAGTCCAGCACATGCCATGACAACCCCTGGGTTAATAAATCCACAATCTGCTGCCATTAAGTCTGAATTGGGGCAGTTATCTCAGTTCTTTGGGCTACCAATTTCCTACCAGGTGTGATGATATTCCAGATGAGTTTCTTTGGTAGCTACAGAACTCTGATAGCCACAAGAGCCATTAAGGCCTTACCTGTTAAACCAGAACTTTCAGGGGTTTAACTGGTGTCTAGGCATCTGTTGAATGCAGCAGTGTTGAACCTCTTTCATTTTAAGAGCCAAATGCAATTTTGGAGATGCCCATGGAGGCCACTTTCCAATGGTCAGGGGGACTGAAGGAAAAAAGAGTGGGGCTGCCCTCAGTATATTATAGCTTAAAATTCTTATTACCAGTAGCTAAGCTGTAGAGGAGTCATGTCGGCCTCTTCGAATGGAGCGGGAGAATGTGCAGAATCAGGAAACCATCGAATGGTTGAGAATCTCAGGAAAGGGGCATGGCCATCTGGGGAAGCTGAAGGATTAGACCTGGCCCAAAGGCTTGCGGTTCCTCACCCCTGCTCTGAAGGCTGCTAATGCTTATGCTATCCTGTGTCAGGAAAACGTGTGCAAACATGGTTGTCTAGGTTTCGAGTTGGTGTCATTGCTGCTTGCTTTCTTCCTTTTCTTTCCTACACTGAACTTGGCATTTTGCACTGGGTCATGTTCACAAGTCACATCTAGATTGTGGTTCATAGCAGAGCCCATGAATAACTTCTAATTCTATGACTTCCTGGCTATTTAGACTAGCACTTGGTAGCCTTTGCATGTTATTAGTGTATTTAAATGTATTGAACTAAAACCAGGGATATGGACACACTTGCCATTTCATTGCTTCGTGCACCAATTTTTATTTAAATATGTTCCACTTTAAATGTTTTCATCCTGTGGAACAGTGGCTTTTCATGCCTTTGTTCTTTCAATTGTATTTCCTAGCTGGAACATCAATTACAGTCACAGAACTCAGCGCAGCTGGAGATGCGGGTCCAGAATGAGCGGCTGCAGCTTCTCAATGAAAATCTGCTGGACCAGGTGGAGAGAAGCAAATGGGAGCTGGAGGTTGCCCGAAGCCACCTGCAGCAATTGCAGAAGAAAGCTGAGCTAGAGCAGGAGCAGAAGGAAAGGTGTGTTAGATGGGGTCTCAGAGCCACTCACTCTTGGAGTGTTGACCTGGCTTGCTGCTGTGAGTCTGTGTGCATGTGCCTGTGCCTGTGCCTGTGTGAGGGCTGGCCCAGGGCATTTTGCTGCCTGGGGCAAAGAGCAAATGTGGGGCCTTCTCCCATTCGATGCATAGCAGGCAGCCAGACTGGCCGTTGACTCTTTCGGCAGTCCTGAGGTTGAGAGCCAGTGTGGTATGAGAGCCAGTGTGGTGTAGTGGTTAAGAGCGTGGGACTGAGACTCAGGCGATCTGGGTTCTAGTCCCTGCTCAGCCATGGAGCCAACTGGGTGGCTTTGGGCCAGTCACAGACTCTCAGCCCAACCTACCTCACAGGGTGGTTGTTGTGGGGATAAGACAGAGGAGGAGAATGATGTAAGCGGCCTTGAGCCCTTTGTAGGAAAAAGGCAGGATATAAATCGGGGGGAGAAACACCAGTGTCTTCCACTGCACCAGCAGTAAGCAGGTGAGCTTAGAGAGGCGGAGATCAGACCAGGGGCAGACAGATCTTTCCTCCAGTGCCTTGTTGCTGCTCGCAAGCACCTACCACTTGAAGCCACAGCCTCAATTTGTCTCATGGTATGGTCAGCCCTGGGAAACATGCAGCAGTGTAGAAATCAGTAGCGATGACCTGCGGCTGCTGCAAATGGACAGGATCTGTAAGCACACAAGGTTGGGCCTCAGGACCAATCCCACAGCCTGCCAGAGAGAGTGCCTAGAGGATGGCGGCAGCCAGCAGGGCAGCACCAAGGCCAGTGTGGCCACTGCAGGTTCCATTCTTGGATTTTGAAGCATCTGTTACAATCAAAAGCAAGTAGCCAAGCACATGTATGGCTGTGAATGCTAATTTATCAGTAGTTTTTAAAATACACTGTCCTAGTGGCAAAATGGTATTTTCTTGCTTGTTTCTAAATTTGTGAGGCTCCTTCCAGCCCAAGCAGAGCCCTAAAGACAACTTACCAGTATATCTTGCAGCAATTTAAAAATGTTAAGTTCTGTAGCTGAGCCGCAGAAGCAAATCCCATTTTATTCCTTTTATTATACTGGTGCTGTCATTTCAGTGAACGTGAAATGCAGCAATGCATACGTATGTTCAGGGTCGCTTTTTTAAAATAAGGATTTGTAGGCAGCTTGGCTTTTTTGGTTTGGCTTTGCTCTAACCTATTAGGAATCTAGAAATAGCTGGAAAACATAGAATGACAGCAGTAGGGGTGGCAGGGAGAGAAGAGAAATGCTAATACTCATTGTGTGCTCCACACAACACCTGGCCATCGAGCCCATAAGCCCATAAGAGCCCATAAGAACACTATATCCATGCATATGTAGCTGCATCAGTGTAAGCACACACTTCTTTCTGAGTAGAGAAGCATTGAGTTAAAGCATTGAAAATGCTCCTCATTTCCCTGCCACAAACGTTGCCTTCTCAAGGCCCCATAGGGTTCCTTTTCTTTGAATAAATGGGTGATAAAAGCCTTTTTCCCGCAGCATTTTCCAGAATACTGTGCAGGAATTGGCTTGATGATGATGATGATGATGATGATGCATGTGTACCACCAACATGGCATGTATACCTCTCCATGTTCCTTCTTGTGAGGAACAACAGCCCTGTGAGATAGTTTAGGCTGCAAGTCCATGACTGGGACAAGGTCGCCCAGTGAGCCTCGTGGCTGAGTGGGGACGAGAACCCGGATCTCCAGGACCCTGGTCCCGCACTCTCGCCACCGTGCTGCACTGGCTCAGAAGCAGTGTCTGCAGGTCTTTTACATCTAAAACCTGCTGCTGTCAAACCCATGGGTCCTTACAGTCCTGGAACAGACCAGTGCCACCAGTCACCACAGTGATCAGGCACAGGCATGTTTAGAAACATGTCCTCCCTTGAAGGTTGCTGCTACAATCAGGCCAACCTTTCGCTTTGTTGGATAGTAAATGGCCTCTTTTCTCGTGCTGAACTGGCAAAATATTGCCTTCAAGTTATAAACCGGGACAAGAGTTTAGGTTTAATTCTTTCCCCCAGTGCTTTATTTTTCTATGGATTTTTTTCCATTTTGTGAATTCATTAGTGACAATGAAAGGTTGGCACTTGCGAATACAATATTAGGCAAGATTGGCAGCTTCAGAGTTGAAATCAGTGTGATTATCCCTAGCAAGTATAAAAGAGAATGCATATATGTCTCAGTCTAAACTAAAGCTAAGTAATGATAACAAAAGTGAAAATGCTGCAGCGACCTCAGCGAAAGGGAGCTGAATGGATGAGTAGCTGTCAGCATCTCATGCACAGTCCTTTGGGTTGCTAAAATGTATTAGGGTGGAATTCTGTCACCCCCACCCTCCATGCATGTAAGTGTCCAGACTTGGAGGCTTATGTGCATCTTGGGCTCTGAACCACGCAATCCCCATTGCCTCACCTTGCTACCTGATTTTTATCTTGACAGCTGCTTTCAGACGGAGGAGCAGTAGGAGGAAAAGAAGCTGGCATGCTGAGAACTGGTTTAAGTCCTTGGTCCCAGCCTCTGTCCTTGCCTGCCCTGCTACTTGCCCCTTTTTGTTCCCTCTGAGGCTCATTTGGGGCCTTAAGGAAGGCAGCTGGCACTGTTCTTTCTGCACCAGCGACAGGGGCAAGTCGGCTTCCCGAGTCCCATCTCCGAGATCACAGGATCTTGGAAGTGGGACTTGAGTAATCCTGTGTCCTCCCAACAACACTGGAAAGATCATGCCTTTAGTGCACTTTCAGTATCTTTTTCGTTTTCCTCCTTAAATTTAAATAATGTAGGATTCTAAGCTGTGACCCAAGATAAAATATACTGCCACTAATTTACTTCAGCCGAAAGCAAGGCTCCACTCATAATCTAGAGTTAATTTATGAATCCCAATTGCTACACCCTACTGCTGCCAGCAGGCTTGCAACTCTGAATATAGCATTGGTGTTGGCAAAGGACAAGGCTTGTCATCCTTAACAAATGAAAAACAAAAGCACCTTTTTTCCCCCTTTAACCCAGGGACGTATTTAGAGTCTCTAAGAATATGCAGAAAGAAAAACAAAGCCTTCTGCGACAACTGGAGCTACTCAGGTAAGGAGGTCAAAGAGTTTGAACATCTGGACTGGCAGGGTGGGGGCTGCACCTACTCCAGATTGAAAATGGAGTTTTTAATGTGTGTGTGTCTCACTTCCTTTTGAACAGAGAGATGAACAAGAAGTTGCGAGATGAAAGAGATGCCTTTGAAGCCAAGAAGCTGGTTAGTCTGAGAAAGAAAATTCTCATCCCCCGTCACCTCCCCTTTGCCTGCTGCTGCTGCTGCTGCCGCCACCACCTGGGGTCATTTCATTTACATGGGGGCCATTAACCAAAAGACCTTGGCTTCCAGAGGTCCTGCATGAGGACACTTTTCCTGTCTCTCGTCTTAGAGAGAGCTGTGCCTTTATACCTGGGCCACTACTGGCTGCCTTCCCCAGACGGTACAGGAAAGGCGCTCTCCTTGACTGTTCCCTCGCCCTGACGGGAAGGGAGAGTCTTTTGCCCACTTTCAGCCTCATGCGTTAAGGCTGGCTTGCAAGGAACCATGGCTAAATCTCCATGTTTTAAATCTTGAAACTTCATCACCTCGCTCAGGGAATAACTCATGGAATTCTCTGGCTTCTGCTGTCCATTCTTGCAGAGTGGAGTGGAAGTCACCTGTGTAAACACCATGCCTCACTCTGGCCAGTAGCCAGCAATAGAGCCAGCTGAATCTTTCTTCAGTGAGCTTGTGGCTACACCCTTCTAGGCTTTTGTAGTCATGTAGCTCAAAACCAAGAGACTGAAAATGGTGGGTGGGTGGAAACTGGCCTTTTCTGCTCCTTTCCTAGACCGCCTTCTGCAGTGGGACTTTCCTCATTGGCAAATGGTGTGCATGTGTGTTGGGGGAATGGGGTTGACATGTAAAATGCTGCACAGAAAATTCCGCTGTGAGGACATAACCAAAATGTGAAGTGAAGCCAAATGAAGGCTCCTGCATTTCCACTGAAGGAATTTCTCTTGCTGCTGACTTGCCTGTTCGTGAACAAGGGGCAGGAATGAAGGATAAAGAAGAAAAGTTTGTTGGTAACAGCTCTGGTCTGTTACGTTGTGCAACAAGGAATTCTTCTGAAACTTGAACAAGGATTTAGTGAAGCTGCTAGGTATGTTTTTGTGTAGCAGGAGAGCGATGTTTCTGTTGTAATGTTTTGGTCTGTCTGTGTGATTATGTGATCATTTGTATGTCTGAATGTACTACTGTTCATCTTTGTGTTTACCAGGCCTGTGAATACATCTCCACACAAATGGGTGGCATGGATGTGTGACCCCTCCTTTGTATATATTGCATGTAATGCGTTTGGCAATTGCCATGTTTCCAGGGGATCACAGTCGTCCAGGGCAAGAATCATCTGGCCATCAAGGTTTCTGCCAAAAAAAGTGGTGAATCAAAGCACATCTAGAAACAAGGGATTAATACAATCACGTACCTGGGAGTTTCTGTAAAGCATTCCCAAATAGGAACATCCAACAAACATTTTGACAGTGCCACTTCTTGCCCACTCTGTTGCTTTGCAGAGACAGTATAAAATGAACCAGAGACAGTATAGAATGAAAGCAGTCTTGGAGGTATCTGGCAACCATGTTGTATTCCATTTCCTCCTCCCCCAATTTAGTGGGAGCCCAGCTGTGTTCTGTGGGAATCCTTTCAGCTTCAGATGTCCATGCCATGGGGAATGCATCTTTGGAAGGAAGCAGAGCGTTCACCATCCACTGACCTGAGATGATGGTTCTGTCACTTCAGTAGCTGCTAGTCAGTGGCCCGGTGGCTGCACTGCATGGCCTCTAGTTTTGATGGCTGCATCCTGCCTCCAGGGTCAGAGGTGTCCTGCCTCTGAATGGCAGTCCCTGGGGAGCTACAGCATGACAGGGCATTTGCCCTTGTGTCCTCCATATGGGCTTCCCTTGGAGCTTTCCCAGCCTGGTGCCCTCCAGATGTGCTGGACAGCCACTTGCACCATTTCCGGCCCACATATGGACTGTGATGTTGGCTGGGCATCCTGGGAGCTGCCATTTACCACACCTGGGCGACAGCCTGTTAGGGCAAGCTGCCACAGGTCTCTCACTGGCCAGCAGGATGTTGGACTGGATATGTCTTTGGCCTGATTTCACGGGGTTCACAGCAGGACTGCTTCTACAGTTTTTTTTCTTCAGAGAGTATGCAAAATCGAAAGTGCAGTTGTTGCTTAGCAGGCCTTCTGGCATTGCATCAGTACTGCTGTTAGTTCTCTCGGGTTGCACCCAGAGCTGCATGTTAACTTAACTGCAAGCAGTGCGACTTAAATTAGGCAGGTTCAGCTCAAGTTCCACTGATGTTCCTAAAATGGAGAGATGACTTCTTCTGCAGTCAGCTCATTATAATTTATTTTCTCTTTATTTTTTGTTGTGCTGCAGTTTTTGCATAGTTTCTGTTGGAAGTTGGCTTCATCTTTGGATTGGTGGGGTATATTCTTTTTTTAATAAGTGATACATGCACTGAGAATCGACCTTTACCTGATTTTAACATTTCCAGCAAGATACAAGCCTACCGTGCATGTATGTGTATCCTTTAAGCCATGCTGTCTCCAGGAGGTACCATGGTTCCCTGAATTCCCCTGCTGGATATCATGTTGTAGGTACTTTGATAAATGAGAATCATGGCTATTTTAGTCCATAGCAGCAAAAACCTTGTGGATACCCACAGCTAAAGTATCCAAGAGCAAGAAATGAATTTAAAAAGGTGAAAAATCAGGATGACCAGAGTGGGTATACCTCAGCCCGGGTGGGTGGGTGCCTGTCACCGCTTTACAGTGCATGTTTACTTGAAAGTAGGCCTACAGTGCTCAGTGGATCTTACTCCTAGGTAAGTGAGGGTAGATTGCAGCCTTGATGAATCTGATGGAGGCCGGCTTTAGCATAGAAGAGTACATGGCAGTGTCTTCTCTCAAGGCAGCAGAAGCCAACCTGTGGCTGTCCACATGCTTCAGAGTACAGCCCCCATAAGCACCACCCAGCATGACGAGTGAGTGAGTGGGGATCATGGGAGTTATAATCTAAAACTGGATTGTCTACCCCTGCTTTAAGGTGCCACAACATCCTTTGTGTTACTTCACGGTCACTGGTTCCTCTGCTGACTTGGCCAGTACAGTTCATGTGCATTTGGAGCATTGTTGGCTGCTACAGATACTTTAAAAGCCACATTCCTATTAAACGTAGTATGAAAAGCAGATTAAATGGGACTTTCAATCTGCTTTGGTTGCAGCCCAGTGAACTGTGCCATGAGTTGCCTGCTGCCACTTGAGTTTTCATTTCTTTTCCTAAGAACATCTCTTTCATGCTGTATCACAGTGTACATTTTAAAACTCCAAGTGGGGGGATCACTTTAAACGTAGTTCATAATGTGTCCTGCAAGGGCGCTGTTGGAAGCTGGGCAGCGGGAGAGAAATGGGAAGCTCACCTGCCCCCTTTCTTCATGTAAAACAGCTTCTGTATTGTCCCTGTAACATTCCGTAATCTCTCTTCTCAAAGGGAATTTGGTCTCCAGGAAAGGTACATGGTTGACTTTTGTTGTTCCGATCTTCTCGGAAAAGTAAATATTCATAATGTGGAGGTTCTGCTGATGTTAAACCTCCATAATGTGGAGGTTCTGCCACTGCCTGCACAGCATGTATGTGACATGCCAGGTCAAAAAAAAGATGAAGGTGGGATTCAGGTCTGGGAATGCCATACCCATATATGTAAGTTCTGGAACTCCATACAACCATTCTGATTATAAAATGATATAACGCACAAAATAAAACAACTGTGCTTGCATGTATCCTTATGTGGTTGGATTAGTATATCCTTCTTAAATTGAAATGTTGACTCTACAGCTTATAGGCAAAGTCAGGCTTTTTATTTGCATGTTTATCCCTTTGCCCTTTTTTAACATCAGTTTTGTATTGAGTTGCATCCACTATAGCTCTGCTAGAGGGACTGAATTGAAGGAAATAAGGTTCTGTTTTTTCCTAAGGGAAAACATCATTGCATTCTGTTACTGCCAACATATGCCCACTTTTATTACTTGCTAGTGTCACCCATACATAGTAAGAATCTTTGCTTTTCTGGAGTGAACATTTACAAGTACAGTACACTAGAGGGCAGCACAAGGTATGCCTTTGCCTCATACTGACTGCAAAAAAGTTCATTACTTCCAGAAGGCTGCTTGCAGCAACAGCAGCTAGCAACAGCTCCAGGCAGGGAATGTGGAAGTAAAGAAGTGTGCCGATCCAGCAACAAGCCTGTGACTTGCGAAAGCCACTGTCTGCAAACCTCTGGGTGACAGACACTGTATTTATCCTTTGCTTTTCACCAAGAGTAAAATGCTTACATATCTCAGTTTGTTGAATCTATGTTTGTGTGTTTCTCAAAGCAGGTGGTAACAATAGGCTGGGCTTTGAGGCCTACCTGAGGTTCATCTTCAGGCTATTGCATTCCCAGAATGGCTCTCAGTGCGGACTACAGTAGGCACGCTAGTGCTCCAATCCAGCAAAGGCTGTCCAGAGGTGGAAGCAGGTGCTCACATTTTCATCTAACAAGGGAGATGCAGCTGTGCACCTTCATGGTATGATGCTCACCTGAACCACTGAACTGGCTTGGATGTCTTTTGATGTCCCTGGAGGGGAGACCTAATCACAGACTTCTCCTGCATGACTGGAGCTGGATTGAGGCCTTTGTATGCTGAGAGGGCTCTAGAGGTGCCCATGCACGAGCAGGAAAGCTTTTCCCGACTTGGCACAAGGGAAGAGAACTTGGGAGTTCATTTGACGAGTGCTTGTGTGGCATCCTCTCAGATTACTCATTTAGTTCAACACTGGAGGCTTAGGGGTGGGAGGGAAAACCATTTTTACTGGGTAATTTTTATAGAATCTTTGAGGCACATCATCCTGATGTAGATCTGGTGAGATGTTTGGTTTAAAGAATTTGATGGGGCTTCCTAGGCTGATGCTTTTGTTGCCAGTGGATTGCATCTGTGCTGCTTCTTAGCTAAAGTCTTGGCACCCAGCCAGTTCCAGTCTCTCTTCACTGTGATGTAATGATGGACCAATCAGGTGGCAGGAATATTTGGCTTACTGAGTCTGCATTCTTGTTCTCTGGGAGGTGCCTGAGTTGTTCTTGTCTGCAGGCTTATGCAAATTTGCCAGTGCTGCAGGATAGATTTCGAAG